ATATCAGGAGTGCAAAACAGCAATTATTCTCCTGCTCATTCTGCCTAGAATTTTATTACGGTATAGCAGCCAGGACTTGGGATTAATAGGACTGATTGAAACCATTCTCCCAGATGCCAGGCTGTTGAGATCACAGGCAGAGGAGCCTGACAGGCGGGAAGGAGCAGAGCAGTGCCGAGATGCTCATCAGTGCTGCTATTACAGTGCTGATATCTACCAAGAGCTGGCAGCAAATGGCTTCTGTGCCCTCAGGAGGGATGGTGCGAGGTGCTCTCTGCAGACCTGACAGCTCACCTCATCTGCATCCTGCAGCCCTTCACTTCCAGCCTCTCCCTCCACACTTGAGCTTCAGGCACAGGGAAAGGGGTGTTTCTCCCATATTGGAGAGATGGTCACCACTCTTGGGCTCTGCCAAAGTGCACGCTGCTGCAGCAAGAGGAAAATCGTGTTCAGAGTTTGAAAGGAAGGATGAAGAAGAGAGAAGGAAGGAGACCTGATCTTCACCAGAAGGATCTAGAGGATTTTTAACAACCTGGAAGACTTGGTTTCCATTCCTCACAGCCAAGGAAGTAGGGATGTGCTGTAATTTCCTGGAGTCACCCTCCCTCTGGCTATCCCTGATCTCAGCAGTTGGTACAAGTGGTCAGGGAGCAGCTGGAGATACCTAGTGTCATGTCCAGGAGCAGAGATACAGTTGGGGAGTGCAGGAGGGTCTTTTCATGAGCTTTTTGTCAGTCTGAGCCAGAACATTGAGCCTTGAACATGAAACAGCAAAGCTCCCCTATTTTTGTTTTTCACATTTGGTACTTCCACATTTTATCTTTCAAAGCTTTATTCTTTGGCAGATGGCACAAGAAAAATCACAGGAACAACATGATTGCATTATAAGAGACCTGGAGACACCAGACAAGATTGTTTGAAACAGAAGCCAGACTTCACAGAAGTGAAATTTACCAGTGGTCAACCAGCTACGGGACACATAGCTCACAACTCCTTCAGGGCTTCCTCAAAAGCAAGAGAATTGTTCCTTGGTCTGTGTATGTGCAAAGGAAACAGCCACAGATATGCACTACAACTTTGACTAGCTGTGAATAATACGGAATGTTCCTTGGAAACTTCTTAACAGACAGATACCACACCATCAGCCACCCCCACCTAGCATTTTTGCTTCACAAAGGGATACAAGCAGCTTTCTTCCACCCCCTTGCTGAACAATCTCTCACACCCAATAGCAAAAATTTGAGGAGGCCACACCAGAAATGTCCTTTGCAGAGCCAGGATTTTGACAATGTATGCCTTACTCTACTCACAAAGAAGCAACATAAAGCGTAAGCCAGAACAACAGCAGTATGGCAGCACTCACTTAAGGCTGGATTCATCATCTGCTGTTTGGAGGAAGAAAAGGGGCCGTGGGAAGAGAAAGGAACACAACAATTTTGCAGACAAGCAGGAACAACACAGGCAGTACATGGCAAGACAGCGTGCCAAACTGCGCTAGCAGGGGTCACAGCCACAAAATCTCACACTGATCAGCAAAGCTGCTGATGCTGCACAGGCTGCAAGGGGTTGGCAGTCAATGGGAGTGAAGTGAGGCAGTTCATTTCTCCTGTGCCATGCTGCATTCTGACAGAACACAATGTGTTTTGCTTTTAGTAGAACTACCTGGCAGCAAAAGGAAAAGCAATGCTGCAAAGGGCTGCTGCTGTTCATCCTACACAGCACTAATGACAGCACAAATCACTGAGTTAAACCCTGAAGGGCAGGAAATGTGGTCGTGTTTATCTCAAATACAGACTTAGGCCAAATTGCTGTGCCTGTTTCCTGCTTGCTTCCAAACTGGCACGGTGCTTTCCTTCTGCACAAGGCTAGGAAGCCAAAGCATTTTTGGAAAATCTTTTTAGGGTGGTGCTCTTTGGTAACTCAGAAGATGGCTTCTATAATGGGTTCAAGAGAAGGAGAGCCACAGTTTCAGCCTTGCTATCAAAGCTCCTCCTACTCAAGTGCTCTGCTCTTGGCACTGTCCCTAACAGCAAGTCCTCCCGTAGTACACCTGCCTTGAGATAGGAAGAAAATGTGGCTGTTAAGCACACAAAAAAAAAACATGTAGCAGGAAGGACTAACCACTTTGGACTCCAGAGTGAAACACAACAGCTGTCACACATGGGACATTATTCCAAACAAACAGACAAGATATGTTCTCACTGTTTACTGAGGCCAACGTGGAGCAAGGACTGCCAGGACTTTTACCAGGCAGCTGAGACCAATGATTCTCCCCCATTACACAAGGACTCTACCAAGAAACTAGGCTATTATTTAACAGAAGTCACATGCACTGGGTAGCTGATGGAAGTTTCAGAACAAGATGTTTTTTGCAGAAATATGGCATGTGGACAAAAAGATGTCCATAACAGGAACACAAGGACATCAGGACACTACAGAGCAAGGATGTAATCTCAGGGTACTTACACAGAGAAGCTCAAAGGCTGCCAGCTGCTCCCGCTCACAACTCAAGCTCTCAGCAAGGATATCTGACTTGAAATATCAGCATCTTTGAGCAGCTGTAGCAAGCCAGAGCGAAGACCCACACATGCAGGACACCACTCTTTGATGGACTGCCATCAGATGCCTCAGGTAAAATCTAAGTGATGTTGCCCCAAGTATTCCCAAGATCCCGACAGTTTTTGGACTGGGGTCTTGTCCTATATACAAACTCCTTCAGAAAACTTTCTGCACCCACTTTTCTAGTTTACCTTGAGCTCATGCAAGTTTTTGTTACCTACAGCATCCTCTAGCAGAGCGCCACAGCTCTTAACTATGACTAGCATGAAGGACAGCTCCTTTTTCTTCTCCGTGAAATAGAGGTTAGTGAAGAGCCACTCCCCACACAGACGAATGACACGCTACATCAAACAAAGGTGTCAAAGAGATTTTCTTAAAATGGTAGCTTTCACTCATGAAAGCCTAAGGTTATGATAGAAAATTAGACCCCAGTTTATGCTGAAGACTACTAGGCACTCACTTTATACAAACTCAGTCACCTCCCAAGTGCAGGCAGTCCTGCTCAGCCTGTCACTCATTTTGTCCACTGCCAAACTTACTGAGTCCAAGCTTGCTCAGCGCTGAGACACATTTGAAACAGTTCCTTTCCTCTTCACCTCAGCCTGTAATAGCTCAAAAGAGCCACGCTATGCTCTCCTCATCTCAAGCAATCATCATTTGATAGCAGTTACAGTCAAGCAGGATGGGGAAGGACATCTGTCTGAGACTCTCCAGCTCCAGCAACGCCCAGACAGCATCTATAGCAACAAAGATCCTTTAAGAGCCTAGGCAACAGCCTCACCCAGGGCAATGGAAACATGTTTTGAAAAAGGGACGTGCTTCAAAACTGGTTCAAGAAAATGGCAGCCCCTGGGCACCACCTGACATTTAGTGACCCCCTGTTCTAGCAGGTACCGCTCGAGCTCTCCCAGAAGGAAAGGCAGCGAGTGAGGTTTATGAGGGAAGGGCACTTCAAGGGATGCTCTAGGCTAAACTTCTAGGGCTTGTCAAGATACAGCAACAGGTTGATCATCGATGTCCTTGAGAAGAATCAGATTTTACTTCGTTGTTAAACGTACAGCAGTTTGCATTCTTTGTAAGACAACAGAGCAGAGACTACCGGGAGAGCCCTCATGGCGAGGGACACAGCGCAGCACTGATCCAGCTCCCCACGTGAAGGCAACGGGACATCGCCCGGACTCCTAGCCGGCCCCACTCTCCCCATCGGAGGCAACCCCGTGAGCAGAGCCGGCCCTCGGGCACTACGTGCACCACGGGTGCGCACACACACGCCGCTTCCCGGCCGGCAGCCCCCACACGCTGCCCCCTCGCCGCTTCCCGCCCCGCGCCACACAGCGCTAACGGCCGCGGGGAGCCCCGCGCGCCGCTCCCCCCTCGCACCCCGTGCGTCCGCCATTTCGGGGCGCCCCGCCTCACCCCTCAGCGGCAGCGCGCCGGACCGCCGTGCTCCGCGCCGCCTCGCGCCCCGACCTGCCGAGCGGAGAGAGAGGGAGGGAGGGAAGGGAGCACGGCAGGAAGCGGGGAGGGAGGGGAGGAGGGCGGCACGGCTCGCCCGGCCCGGCCCAGCCCCGGGACGCCCAGCGGGCGGTGCCTCGGCAGCGAGCCCTCGCGTACAGCCCGCCCGGCGGCTGGCACGGGTCGTCGGCGCCCCTTCGGCTTTGAAAACTAGAATAAAATAAAATATTTTTTTCTGTAAAACAAAGCACCCCGAATTGCGTCCACCTGCAGTGCCTGCGGCGCGGTCTCGGCGCGCCGTGCAAGCGCGAAAGCGGGCCCTGCAGCAGCGACCTCTGGCTCCCGCCGCCTTTACCTCACGCGCCGTTCCCAGCGCCGCAGGCACCACGTTGTGAAGAACACAAGCTCTTCTTTTTGCAAGCCTTTCCCTTTTTAGAGGCGTCAGAGCTGCTGGTTAAAGATCTTTCCAGGAGACATCCTGCGCATTGAGATCAAGCCCTGACTGGCGCATTGCCTCATCCTTCCATTACCTCATTTCAACTTCAGTCCAAATACCGCAGTTAGCAGCCCTGCTGGGATGTGTAGGGAGAGCCTACCTGCTCCCCTCAGAGACTTAGCGGTCTCAGTTTTTTAGGGCTGGCTGGGAAGGTATGAGAGCTGATCGGAGAGCGAGGGAAAAGGCCAGCTGAGGGCCTACTGGGTGTTGGCCTCTACTATGACTTAACAAGGGACCAATGTACCCAGTCACTTCATAGAATCATTCCTGTTGGAAAAGACCTCTAAGATGACCAAGTCCAACCCTCAACCCATCCCACCATACACACATCTACCCTTTCCTTGTACATCTCCAGGGACGGTGATTGCAGCACCTCCCTTGGCAGCCTGTGCCACTGCCTCACCACTTTTTCTAAGAATTTTTTCCTAATATCCAACCTGAGCCTCCCCTGGTGCCCATGTCATCCTATCACTGTTACCTTGGAGAAGAGGCTGACCCCCACCACACCACAACCTCCTTTCAGGTCACTGTAGAGAGAGATAAGTTCTTCACTGAACCTCCTCTTGTTCATCTTTTCCAGTGAGTAAACCAATTATTCAACTGATACCACACTTTTTAAGGCAACAGACAAAGACGGACAGCCTAAGAAGTTCTGTATGGACTGCTAGGAGAGACTCACTTCACAGCACTTTTGTTCTGATGATGTTCACCATCATCCGGTTTGCAGTGAGTCAGAGGGAAGGGACACATTCAAAGAACAGGGGCTGTGTTAGACCAAAACCAGCAGACAACAACCCACTTCACACAGAGCTGGGCAGGGCAAGAAAAAGGAAAACCTGCAGATAAACGTGAGCTATACCAGTGTCTCCTTTTCCTCCAGTCCCTCAGGAATATGCAGGAGTCCAGTAGCAGGGTCACGTCATGCAGGGATTTGCACTGCAGCACTTTGCTGTTTCAGTGCTCACCTATAGGAGCCACCACCACCACCTCTGCCCAGAACTGCACAAATGCAACCTCTATAAACGATTAATTAGATATATCTTTACCTCGAAAAACAACTAATTTTATCTGGCCAGTTCTACTGTGGCCTATTCACTTCAAAAGAAGCATGCAGCTAATCTTCTGTTTGCAGAATCAGGCCATATTAAACTGCTTGGCTTGAGATGTTTAAAGTGTGCCTCAGGGGCTCGAGGAATCTGGAGCCAGATTATTGTAGCTGCACCAACTGAAATTTCAGCATGGCTCATTAACAGGCAGATAAGTAATGAGCAGACTGACAGCAGCTCAACGAGCTACCAAAGCGCTGAGCTGCAGTACAGTGGATCTACTGGAGCCAAGAGATTTTCAAATAAAGTATTTAAAGGTACATAGCATGAGTTCCAAGATACATCTATACCCAGACATGAAGTATTTGTTTTATATATGGACTAAGTAATTAATCAGTAAAAAGAGAGAAAATATATGAACAGTAGAAGGTAATAGAAGAGAAAATAATCCAGGAGAGACCCAAAGGGACTGATTAAATGTCTGTGGATGGATCTCTTGGAGTTTAAGCTGCTGGAATAAAGTGGCTCTAGGGCAACTGGTGAGCCACTGTGCAGTTGTGAAATTCCTATGAGCAGTACCTCAGGAACAAGCTTGCCTGGAAAGAGCAAAGGCACTCCATAAAGCCACAGCCAAAAGCTGGGTGCACGTGCTTTATCACTGATTGATGATGAGCCTTTGCAAGTGGGGTCCTGCATTGCCCAGTTTCTTTCCACGCACTCTGGGTCAACACCACTGAGCCTCCAGCCCCAAGAATGCAGCACTTGAGATGAGTGGAAGATGCTGTCATGTCTCCAACATGTTCAAGTAGAAGTGACAGTGTTAAAACAGCAGGGAATCAGGATCCTCATCTGTTCACTTGTACGGGTTTTCTAGCAATGCTATTTATCATTCCCTGAGCTTTACCCCCATGTCTCGCCTATCACAGTCATAGGTAAAAACAAACAAACATCCAAGGCCTTTTGAGATTTCTTCATTTGTCCCGTGGGAAAGCTTTAAACTTAGCACCACAGCTTAATGCTCTTTCTTCATCCCTATTTTGGCCTGCCAAAGAGATGCTGTCAGGCTAATCCTGTTATGTTTATCCTTAGCATATTAACATGAAAGAGATGAGTGAAACGCAGGGCAAAGCAGGGTCCCCTTGCCTGCGTGCAAGAGCTTTACGGGACTGTGGGGGCTTGTCAGAGCAGCTGTTTTTTTTCTTCTTTGCTCTTAGCCCGAATGTATACACAGCTGCACTACTGTATGTGCCAGGATAGGCTTCGAGGCTATAAGAAGTGTATTTTCTTGTGATACATTTCCAAAATGCTTTATAGATTATGTGCAAAAAGTCACCTGTCCACTAAGAGACTGCAGCCAATGCAGTGCAGCAGTAAGCTCTCAGGCAGTCAGTTTTTCATCCATTATCTCATACCACCTCAGGATATCCCTGTTATTTGCTTTTTCCTTATACTGGAGTTTCCAACAGTCACTTGAGTGTGGCTTCTCCCAGGATCTCCATTCAGCAACAGGAGAAATTCTCACACTGTCTTGGTTTTGGCTGGAATCTCATTAATTGTCTTCATAGTAGCTGGTATGGTGCTGTGTTTTGGACTTTTTTCATGAAAATAGCAGTGATACCACACCGATGTTTTAGTTATTACAAAGAAGTGCATTCACAGAGTCAAGGGCTCTTCTGCTTCTGTCGGTTGTGAGTATCTAGGTCTTCCAATAGGAAATGTAAATACTGTCCAGAAAAACAACAAAACACCATCACACCATCCAGTATAAAACACATCCTAGTGCTTACTGCTGTCCAAGAGTGCAACCTCTGTGCCACTTTATCATAGGCAAAACAAAAGTTCACCCTGTTCCTGCTAAAAAAAGTTATAGCTCACTACTTCCTGTGTTGTTTGTTTATAGCAAGGGAAATGAGTAATAATTTCTGTGGCCAGAGCTATGTATAGATAGTTCTGTAAGACACTGACATATCAAAATAAACATAGGGTACAAGGTCTAAGAGCTATGAAATTCCTAACTCTGGTGAACAGGATGCATGAGCATTATTAAATATGTCTGGTTCTACAAGCATAGATACAAGGAGACAATGTACTGTGTTTGAAAGCTGTACATTGGCCCCAGACTCTGGGGAAGCATCTCTTTAATTCCCCCTGCTTTGCCTTCCCTGATCATCCAGACTCTGGCTGTTTTAAAGAGAAAAAATAAGACAGCAAATGAATTGCTTCTGCGCTTCTCTGGAAACAAGGTTTCTCATCTACTCTCTCCTTGCTTATTATTTACAAGTCTCCTATACGTATCACCACCAGGAATACACTTCTCAACCCTTCCTGAACACTACACACTGCAGCAGGCAACTAAATCAAGTGAGGCTGAATCTCTTGCAACTCCTGGAAAAAAACTCAACACAAACATTTGCAAGACAGTATTTCTTTATTGCCTGCACCCTGCTTGCCCACTAAGAAAATATCCTTAAGACTGTACATTAAGAACAACCAACCAAACACAAACAAACAAAAACCAAACACGTGGTAGTTCTTCCTGTTGCAGTATGACAGTGCTGAGGAAGGTAATTACCACATGCTGTACGGTACTTGTGTGCCAGGTATACTTTACTCCTTTATCTTTCACGTGCTTTATGCACAGTGTGGGAGCTGCACATTCAAACCATGTTAGCAGATTAGATACCATACTCTTCTTCTGCTGCAGCTTCCAAAATCCTGCCCAGCATGCTGTTGCAGGTAAGTAAACGTTGGCATTACTGATGTGCCCATACTAAAGATATCAGTTCTTATTGCCAGTTCTTATTAACCTGCCACTGGAGCACAATGCAAATGAATCGTTGACAGCAGCTCCTCCAAGTCAGCCAGTGAATTTTGCTGACTTAGCAGGTGCCAATGTCTGTGCTCCTCCATGGTAACCTTGGTTAGAATGCACAAAATTCACATCTGCATTTGGGCAGTCATCTGGTATAGGGCAGTCTAACGGTTTGTGTTTTCCAAGAACAGAGATTTCACTTCCCAAACATCCTTTCTTGCAAACATTAGCTGTTTCCCTGGAAGCGCTGCTGGTGTTATCCTAAGCTCAAAACCAGCAGCCCTACTTTCTTCAGGACCTCTTCTAATGTACTGCTTCCCAGTCAGTTTGTGCAGTTAAATTCACCAGCTATACAATAGCAAGAACCACAGTCAGCAGTAAGCACTGAGCAGACATTTAGTACTTTTGGCTATTCCTTTAAGTCAGGAACCTGGCTCTTCCGGAGAGAAGCTTCCTCTTTCCTACTAGAAGTAAATGGCATTGGGAGGAACCATGGAAAGACTGTGTAATGCAGTAAGTGACTCAGATCACTTTTCCTGCATGGAATATTCCCAGAGAAATTTGTGCAGCAAACAGATATTTGGAGCCAGAGTAATTGCCTTATCCCATGAGAGGAAGGAGGTGATAAATACAGGCCTTGCCTATGCTGAGGGTTGGAGAACTGTTTCCTAGCTGCAGTATCACATGTTGTGCCCAAGATTTCAAAGACATGTAAAGAAATGGCTCAAAGAGAAACTCACAAAGCTTTAAAAACAACTGAATTACAAAACAGAGGAAGAAAGCCTCTTCACACCCAGGCACAGTAGCAGCCACGCAGAGCCAAGGCAGCTGAGAGATATGCTTGTGGGTCCAGTGCCTACTTCAGCCATCATTTCTTCTCATTCTGCTTTGCACCACTCCATGGTGGAAAACAAGCTCCTTCCTAACAGGAATAGGTGCAGCCCTTCTCTTGCTGAGGCCCTTCATAAGGAAATTGAGGTTATTGCACAAGGTCTCTGCGAAAGCAAAAATTTCACTATGTAACCATTGCAGCTGAGGCAGGCGCCTCGTGCTTCCAGCCCAAGTACATTTCCAAGCACTGCTGTCAGACCAGCGGGGTTGGATCTGGGCACATTTCAGTACTGCGGATATGTCCACTCCTAACTGCTGAAGACCTTTCAGGAAAAAAATAAAAGAATGGGAGGAAACAGGCAGCATTGAGCCTTAGAACAGGTTTTACATGGCTCCCAATAGATAAGCACAGCTCCCACAACAGGTTATGGAACAGCAGCACGTACCAGCACAGCGGTCGCCTGTGAGTCCCAGGGCAACTGCTTTGTGTTCTGTGAACAGTACAAGGAGAATGGCAAAGTTCATTAGGGTAACAGTGAAGAAAGCCAGTAGGATGAATGGTTTTAGCAGTTCATGCTATATCCACATATGGAATCAGTTATCTACAATGTTGGCCAGTCAAACCAGATTTCCCACCAAGTGCAGAGCCTGATCCGGATCTTAGAAGAATAGGCAAAGGCTTCCCTATCTACCACAGCATGCTGTCAGCTGGGCTTCGCTGTTATAGAACCAAGAAAATCCTGCTCTTAGACAGAGAAAGATTCACTACCTAAAGTTAGCCGAAATTTAAAATCATCTCTTTATTTCTTACACTAAAATAATTAATTTAACACATCACCCACCATGTCCTCCCCTCTGCTGCTAGACCACCATTTTGCCAGAAACTAGAGGAACAAGACTTCATCATTTTACCTGGAAATGATGCCTCCGGATAGAAGACCCATTTTGTGCCATTTGCTAAGGCCTGCCAAATTTCCCCAACAGATCAGAGGCCTCCTATGACCAGGGCCGGACATGCAGGTGGGAAAGGGAACAGTACAGATCATATGCACATTCTGCCCTGATTTAGTGCCTTGAAATTCCCAGATGGGGAAAAGATGCAGATTCCCTAAATCTCTGCAGACATGATACCATCAGATTCAACTTGCTCAGAAGGAATTTCAGCTTCATGAAACGGTGCCAACACTTGGCTCTTGCTGACATACTGATGTTCCTTATGTGCAGCACCCTTTCTTCCTGACATCTTCCAGTTGCAGGGCATTCTCCCTCTGCCTGTCTTCTTGTGCTGTCAGCAACCTGGAACAAGCAGCACAGATCAAGAACAAAACTGAACTACTCAGCTCTTCCTGCAGTGGCATCTGACTGTGCCTTTGCTCTCCTATCAGCCAGGGCTGTTTAGGATTGTAAAAAGTGATTGGGCTGTGTCTGGGAGCTGGACAAGATAAACCACGTACAGAAAATGAGCGTGAATTTCAAAGGAAACAGGAACTGAACATGGACAAGAGGGGGCAGCATGGTATAGTCAGAACACCAGATTGGACACAAGTGGCCTGCAACTTGTTTCCAAGCTCCTGCACTGATGGTAGAATCTCAGGCTGCTCACTTCACTTCTCTGGGCAGCACCTGGCAGCAGCATGGTAATAAAACACGCTGAAAGCATGTGCTGTAGGAGACAAGATTTATCTACTTAAATCATCACAGTTAATAAACACCTAAGTCCTGCTGTGAGCTTAACAGAAGTGATACAGCAGGAGGGGAAGGGATAAAAGAAAATGAAAGGATATTTTTCTTACAAGACTTCAAAGCTTTTAAAAAAACCCAAACACTAGTTCTTTTGAAAAAACTAAAAATCTCAGTGCAAACTTCCTTCAGCTTTATAATGTGTTTTATCCTTCCTCGTCCTTAGCAATGAAAATACTACTTCCAAAACATCAAATTCTGTATGGATGAACCACTCCCTAGAGATGCATGTAGATTTCATATTGAAAATGCCAACTTAAAATTTGGGATAGCACACCGAGTTAAATTTGGGATATCACACAAAGTTTTGTGATGAAATATTTAAGTTAAATTCTTGATCTTTCAGCAGCCAGCTCTGCCAGAGGAAGATCTGCATTTTATGACATCCAGTCTATGCTTGGTACTCTAGCCACAGAAGACAGAAGAGCCCTGAGGTCAGTGGGGAAGAACCTATTGCTCCACATCTTTTTACTGACACACCAGAAAGTCAGCCTCTGACAACATTTCTACTTGCCCATTCCCTAGGAGAGCCCACCAGTGATCTACAGCTGGGGAAATACCCCAGAATGACTGTTCCCATCACTAACCTGGCCATGTGCAGCATGGGCTCCATGATGTTATAGCCAGTCATAGCACTGCACTCATAGAAGACAGCCTTGTATTCCTGCCAAAGAACACAGCAAGCACCAACGTCAGCTGCCAACTCTCCCCCAGCATTCATCCACACCTCTGGACACTGACCCACCTTGCCACCAGAAACTCTGCTGGCAGCACATGGGGCCAGCAATGCAGCTGCTACTGCTGTACCCACCTTGCCAGAACATGAGATGCATTTTATGCTACTGAAGTCCCAGAGTATCCAGAAGGTAACAAGTGGGAGGTGTTTAGGAAGAAACACCATCCCTTTGGGATAAGTGGACTGCCTTACCTTTGTACTGCAAAGTCCAAAAGATGGGGAAAACTTTTGAAACCCTTTTTGTCCCCTCCCCACAGGGCCCCCAGGGATGAGAGGATAAAGGTAGCAGCAGGCACACAAATAGAGGTGGCAAGGGAGGAGACAGAGCAGGTACCACAGGAACATTGGTACATGTTTGTATCAGAGTGAGGGCTGAGAGGGAAGGTACCATACTGGGAAATGGCTTCAAGAAGGGCTCTCCACAGTCCAGCTCACAGCTGGAGGGAGGCTGTAGAACAAGTGGAGCAGGAGAGCACAGAGACACACCTTCGCCAGCCTTTCCCCTTCCACCTTGGGTACACTCCGAGTCTCTCTCCCTGTTGTATCCATTTTATTTCCAAGCAGAAAAACCACAGCTCCATCCTCAATGCCCTCCTGCAAAAGAAACAGAGCAAAATACTCTAGAGACTCAGCTGAGGGACAGAAATATCTTGGAGCAAGTCCTTGGAGCACACAAAACAAGAGCACTACCACTGACTTCAGTGGCAGCAGGATTAGGGTCCCTGAAGGAGCTGCCAAAATATGCCTTTTAAGCTCACTAAAGGGCCATTCCTCAAGCAGCCCCAGGGATTTGTGGAAGGAAGCTTAAACCATGGGGATATATTTCAAATGGTTGGTGTGTACAGCTGGGATGCTGAGAGAGGAAAGGCAGGGAAGAACTTCTCTGTGAAATAAGAAGTCAAAAGTCCAACAGTTTAATGGGACAAACTACATTTAAGACTACGCAGGACTTCTTCAGTTAAAACTTTTCTGGTGTGTATGTGATACTATTCATCTGATGTGCTATTCTAAACTCAACCATCACTTTCTGAAAAGCACTATAAGTGGCTAAGCAGCTTTCAATGCTGACATAGGGTCTCTGTACTACCTGTCATTCTTAGGCAACTCCTGGAGCCCATTATCTTAGCTGAAACTACCCCATGTTCCTCTAGAGCATCATCACAGTAAGACTGCAGAATAAGGCTTTAAGTTATCTCCAAATTTGACTGTTCTGGAGGACTTACAGCACCAGGACAGCTGAGATTTTAAAGCAAGAGAAATTCTAAGGTGAGACAAAAAAAACATAAGAGATTATTAAAGTTACGGATTTGGGAGTGCTTTGTTTTTTTGTGTGCTCAGTTTAACCCTCCTGAAAGGAGCCTGATTTCCAGAGGCTAGTTTTGAAAAATCTTAACCTTTGATCTTTTAAAGTCTAGTGAAACAGATAAGCTTTTTTTCCTTGCCCAGCAGGCCTGTGAAATTTACAGCACTAGAAACCTCTAACCTATGCTTATTATTGAGTGTTTTTTGACACTCAGCACTCAAAGCAAAACCATTCTTGACACTTTCCCTACAACTCTGAGCCACCTGTACACAAAATTAAATGATACAGAGGTATTTTAGTCTCAGACACAAGCCACAGAAGAATGTTTTTTGTTTAGAATTTGGAAATAAAAAAGGAGGGGAAATTACAGTAATATTGATAGTCAACAAAGGAAAACAAACAAACAGACAAAGATCAACTGCTGAAGTTACAGCAAATGAAGAAAAAAACAAGCTATTTCTAGTATAAGCTATTTCTAGAGTGTCATCTAGAAAATTCAGAAGGAGTCAGGATGTGATTGTGTGAAGTGCTGTACATGCTGCAGAACTGAGCCTAGATGTACCAGGGCCAAATATCTTCCCTGCACACAGACTAGATAGACCAGGAGATTTCCTTACTTGAGCATAGGTGCAACAACTGCAGTTTGGAGATGCTGCCAACACATACCAGCTACTTCCACATACCACTGTTTTAGCAGGTTCCACTACTTTCTGCTATAGAAACATCCCTCCTCATTTAATGGGCTGCCGTCGTACCCTCAACAAACCCCTGCTTCCATACACACTACCACAGGCAGTACCTGTAACATCTGCTTTGTGCATCCATCCACACAAAGACCTCCTGAGGCCTCCAGGAACACTGCTCCCAAACAGACCATTGGAGCAAGACCAGAGCAAGGCACAGGCAGCTCTGCCAGCAATAGAAAGATGATGTCCCACTCTCACCTGGACGCTGCTCATCCAGTTGCGCACTGCCATGAAGGAGCACTCGGCCGTAATGTCGTACATCACCAGAATCCCATCTGCCTTCCGGAAATACTGCTTGGTGATACTCCGGAACCTGAGCCCCAACAAAACCAAAGGCACTCTCAGAACCACGATGGTATAATGACATGAGACAGAACACGATCATCTGGTTTCTTGTGCTCCCTGCAAGGGCTGGCGGCCCCTGTGCATGAGATGCATCCCTTGGAGCTGGCGTACAGACTGGTGACAATTCAGTTAAAATCCTGGGCTTTTCAGAGCCCATCTGTGCAGCAGGCCAGGCAGCCATGAGTAAGGAGTGTTTCCAAACACATGGTGCTGAGAAAGCAGGACCTTTCTAAGTCAGGAGGAAAGAAGCACTGAATAGCCTGTTTAGGTGAGGTAGAAAAAGGTAATGCCTGTAAAAAAGGAAATGGATGGAAAAAAAACATGAACTTTTTTCTACAGTCTGGAAGAATCTGCAGATTAAGCTGTAGCATAGAATAAATTAGGTGCATAATGTCTGCCCCAGTGCTGGTAAAACTGCAGTTAAGATTTCAGCATCAATACAGTCCATTCCCAATTTTAAATCTATAAAGCAATTCTGTCATCCATAAATTCAGATGTTAGAAACAGTTTCCAGGTGAAACTCCCATCAGACATCTACATTATCCCGTGGGTTCCTGCTAGAACCACAGACTTGTATTTTGGGAATCAATTCCAATTTAAAACAAACAAAAATATGCTTAAAACCACTATGCAGTTTGTCATAAGGCCATGTCGCCATATTGCCTGCAAACTGATGGAAATAAATGCAGCATCAGTACCCAGATCTCACTAGACAGCTGTGAATTTCCACCCTGCATAGGCTAACAAGCTCTCCTATTAAGAGCCAAGAAAACCTGCAGTTAGTAGTGACCCTCCTGAACTCTTCAGCTGATTGCCTGAAGCCTGTACTGTCTCACTACACACAGAGCATGCCATTCTGGCAGCTACTCCAACTGAGAAAGCACAGACTGTATCTTTGGCAGTCAAGATGCACCTCTGGAAATACAGGACATGCCAGATGCTCCAGAAAAGAATGTCAAATATAGCATGAACCAGACTCAGGGGAATCACTAAGGAGTTCTCCCCTGCACAAGAAGCTCCTCTATCTGATATAGGATATTCAGTTGTACACATCCAGTTAGAAGTAATTCAAATCTCTCTAGAAGTAAGAAAAGTTTTGGTTTCTTCCTACTCAGTAGCAGCACCGAGCCAAGTTCTTTCTTCCAAGTACACATCTAAGACCTGCTAGTACTTCAGAAGCATACTGTCCTTCTGCAGAGATAAATATAGTGAGTTTGGCCTCTAATGCAGCCTAGTCTCAAAGAAGTGTCTCATTTAATGTCATGAAAACTTCCTGATTGGCTACAGCGCTAAAAACACAACAGAATAGTCTTTTGAAACAGAAATCATGATTTCTTTAGCGTGAACTTGGAGTTTGGAAGAGTTTGCCTTGCAGTAGAAAACCTTACTTTGTGCATTTCCCAAAAGTCTGTATGATCTAGCTGGCTGAGGCAGGCAGCGTCCCTACTTTCTTGGCACAGTGCAGAATTTTAATATTTCCATGACTTCAGCTGCCTCTCAAGGCTTGGTCCCATACCATATTTAGCATTAAATACCTTATACTTATTTTTGCCAGGCTCTGTGGTTAACAAACTCCTTGAAAATGCCTCTGAACCTAAGCATCAAAGTACATTCTAAATGAAGTATAAATTACATGAAGTTGTGGTAAGCCTTCATTTCTAGTACTATTGTAGATGAATGTTAAGTGTGTCCTCTGCTACTCTGATCTTCTCCAACAGTGCTGATGACAACATCTTGTGATGGCCCATGTTTTTGAAACTAGAGGAGCCATCACCAAAAATTACATTGCCCCTCTGCCAAGAATTATCACTTCCATGAGTCTATGGGCAGAGATACATCCAGGTGCATGCACTCCCTGCCCTGTCCTTCTCTTTTTTACACTGAGCCTAACAGCAGGAAATCCTCACATAATTGTTTACCTTTCTTGTCCAGCTGTATCCCACAGCTGTAAAGCAACTTGAGTGTTGTCCACCATCAGACTCTTCACCTGGTAATCAATACCTGTCAGGGAGGTAACAAGAACAAGATCAACACTAGTGCAGGGAAACTGCCAGATTGACTCAAAGCTGAAAGAGCCACCAACTTAACAGAACTGCGGGGATTAGAAGGGACCTTAAGAGATCATCAAGTCCAACCTTCTGCTAAAGTAGGTATCCTACAATAGATCACACAGGTAGGCATCCAGACAGGCCTTGAATATTTTCTTAGAAGGAGACTCTACAACCTCTCTGGCAACTGTTCCAGTGCTCTGTCACCCTTACTGTGAAGAAGTTCTTCTGCATGTTTGCATGAAACTTCGTATGTTCAAGTTTTAGGCCATTACTCCTTGTCCTATTGCTATGCACTACTGAGAAGAGCCTGGACTCATCCGTTTGTCTCCCACCTCCCATCAGATAGTTACAGACATTTATCAGATCCCCCATCAATCTTCTTTTCTCCAGGCTGAACAGACCCAGGTTACTCAGCCTTCCCTCGTAAGGGAGATGCTCCAGGCCCTTTATCATCTTTGTGGCCCTCCACTGGACTCCTTCTAGGAAATCCCTGTCTTTTTTGAACTGGGGAGCCCAGAACTGGACACAGTGCTCCAAATGTGGTCTCGCTAGGGTCAATTAGAAGGGGAAGATCACCTCTTCAACCTTCATTCAGGTTGTTAAGAGCTAGAAAATGTCTGGGCTAAAGTGACAGAAAAGAAAACTAAAACAACCCCTTCCAGACCAACTGCCTCATCCTTCTTAGTCAGATTAGTTTGGAACCCTATTTCTTACCAATAGTTGCATTGAGATCAGCCAAGAACCTGTCATAGCAGAAGCGATGGATGAAGGAACTCTTACCAACACCAGAGTTCCCCACAAACACAACTTTGAAGATACGATCGGGGGAACAACTGGCAGGTTCCAGCACCTGGAGCTACAATGGAAGAAAGAGATGCAGTTTATAAAAGTCCAGCCACAGACTGTGATTTGATTTAGGTATTACATCACAAAAAAAAATATGAAATTACTACAAATCTATGAGCTGCAGTTATGTGGGAAAAGTCCCCACTAGCAGGTGTTTGAGGCTGTACAGTAAGTACTCAGACTCACCCTGCTTTCAGTGCCAACTGGCTGTCCTCTAGGAGATAATGGAGCACCGTCCAACCCGTCTGCATTTTTTCTACAGTCAGTGTCACTCTTCAAAGCCATCTTCAGCCTCTCAGCATCAGCTCCCACTGACCACTTCTCTTGGTCTCTGTTCTTCTCTCCAAAGTTCGTGCTGCTTCCTTCTCCCATCTTCAACCACATCCCATTGCCTGAGAAGTATTTGCAATTCTTCCTGTTGGGTTCTTCCATTGCCGTATCCATTGGGAAGGTGACATGTTGTCCACCATCAGAGGCCAGTTGTCTGTATTGAAGCCCACAGGCACCACAGTGGGGTTTGGAAGCAGAGGAAAAGAAGGAGGGGGTTGCAGATTCCCAAAACACCCAGCATGGTTCAATTAGTTCATACGCAACACTTGCAGGAATGTTACCTCATGCACTTGCTCCCTGTGACTAAGGTATCAACAACACCCCTGGGAGAAAAAAGCTCCCTGGAGCTATGCTGTGCTCATGTGCTGGCATGCATTTCATTCATTTTAACAGAAATTTCCCATCTTCTGGATTTTTCAAGGATTCTTTGCAACCCACTTTTCCCAGTACTGAAAAATGAGGCAAAGTATACAAAGGTGGCAACAGAAGAAAAAAAAAAAAAAGATTTAAAAATACAATGCTAAAATAAATAACAAAGGTTTGCAGGTTAGTGAAAAAGGTTTTGGCTGCAGGAAGGAGAGTGAGGGCTGTCTGATTACCCTTAGGACGCCACATGCAGCAAGCATGCATGTTACTGCCTTCTGCTGACGGTCTTGACTGCCACAGGTGTACAAACTGCAGTGAGCTCAGGGTGCTCGAGCGGACCACGCAAACAAGGCTGCTGTACACGGTAAGTGGAGGAACAGACTTCAAAAGACAGCTAGAATAGCAAATTCAACTGCAATCATTGCCAACAAGCAAGGAATTGTCTTTGGTCTGCCTTGGCTTTCTGTGGTTAAAGAACTAGAAGAGAGTGAGAAGACTCACAACTCAAAGGTTTTATCTGTCAGAGACCTCCAACACATCTGCTGGCCACCAGATTCCATTTGGAAGGAGAGACCAAAGGCTAACTGCAGTTTGTCTGCACAGAGGCAGCACATCCCACCTCCAGTGGGATACAGTTTTTTTCCCTTGCTATTAGTGCAAGAGTCAAGGCAACAACTCTCCATTGGCTTCACCTCACCAAGGCTGTGAGATTCACCTGCTGCCAAGTCTGCACTTTTTCTGTTAGATGGTGCTCACATCCTGGCCATCCTCCTTGCCCCTGCCCCACATGCCAGGCCAGAGCTGGGCAGCTGGGACCTCTCCCTGTGCAGCACAGACAGACACATCCTCCTGGGCTTAGGCTCTGGGGATCAGTCCCCCTCTCCCAGGGCCAGCAGAATTAGCTGTAACAAGGGGCTGAACCTCAAAAGCCTCTTTAGGGAAGAGAACAAAAAAAGGGGGATACAAACACAAGACTTTCTGAAGTGATCCCATCTCTAATGCAGCTTATTCATGTGTCTCAAGCAACGTGGTATGACAGCACTGAGACAGAATCAACAAATACATACTAAGCCTTTCTATTTGGTTTGTGCCAACAGCCACTAGCAGCATCTTTGCAAGAGATAGCTAGTCAGTAGCTGGCCTCTCTGAGGAACCAGGCTTTTGGCCAATACAGGCATGCATGGCACATAGTTCACAAGGGCCAATGCTTAATGCCAGCACAGCTGAGGCAAGCGTGCATAGGTGGCTGTTGAAAACACCGCACTGTCTGCGCATAGAGTGCCAAAAAAAGGCATAGGCCATACAGACAAGGTTGTCTATCCTGGCTGGCCAGAAGGCCTGGTGTGTCAGGTGAGCATTTGCAGAGGTATGGAGGCAGATGGGCAGGACGGAGCCACCTGGAGCTGGGCCTTCTCCTCGGGGCTTTCAGCTGCTGAGAGAACACCAGCCTTGTGCAAGTCCTGCCCTCTCCCATGCCCCAGGAACACAAGGTCTGGCACCAGGCACCAACAGACAGGGTTTCTGCCTGAGGAGGAACAGCACACTCGGGAGAATATCCAGGCATTTTAACAGAACTGCCTGGCTCAGAGTCAGCCTGCTTGCCTCCTGTCCCACAGACATTTCTAGATTGGGGCCAGCACCACAGGAAAGTTCACCAAAAGCAGTATCCTTAGTTTCATGCTGAGCCCATACCACCTCGTGCCAAGAGTTGAGCTTTATGTCCCCCATGTTCCCACAGACAGACAGATAGCACTGAGGCATGGAACCAGACAAGGGACACAGTTTGACTGACAGTGTTCCAGCGGGCACAGAATGACACCACGGACACAACACAGATGCCCATCTGACCGTTTGACCGGCTTGTCGTCCAGCAGGTAATTGCCTAGCACTGACCCTTTCTTCAAGAGGGGCTTTTTGCTCTGAGGTGCCTGGAAGTTGAAAAGAGAAGGGTTGAAGAATGTCAATACAGCCCAGGAATCTGGCCAGCCCCGGTTCAACTTGCATTAAGAGCACAGGGCTGGAGCCCCACAAGCAAGGCTCAAACAGAAGCAAGCACAGGATTTGCTCTTCTCAGTTCAGCTCATTTAGCTGATGCAAGAAAACACCGCTGACACTGCTTTCCCATTTGCAACAAAGCCCTTCAATAATGCCAGTGACCCAAACTGTAGCCTTCCTCTGTCAGCCAGAGCTTTTATTTCTGTGGCTTATTTGCTACTGTGATACACAGCTGATACTCTTTCCCCACTTGTTTTTTTATGATGATGATACGTGAGACAGAGTGAATCTCTCCTCTTCTGGTACTCACCCATAGCTGCACATACACCAAAGGGAAGAAAGGAGACTGTTCTGCAACAGGCAATGTACAGGCTCTGCTTTATACGTACATCCTCCCCCATGCCTTCCTCCTACTTACCTCCCCACGCTTCCTCCAGCCAGCGCTCACCAGCTTCCCAGAGAAGGATAAGAAGCAACAACTCCCTCACGACACTGCTCCTCTAGATACAGCAGCTTTGTCATCCTCAGCACCAAAGATGACAAATTTGCTGAGACCATACAGAAAAGCCTGTGGCAGAGTGGTAGCTGACCCACTAGCTCTCCTAAATCCACGCCAAAGCCTAGTCCCCTCTCTCACATACAAGCTGGTTAACTGCTCCTGCCCCCCAAAAAATGCAAAGTAAGAGACAGTGTGGCAAGGTGCCCACTATCCAGCACTGGGAGAAGGGAGATGTACTCACTCTGGGAGTCCAAAGATTTCTGACATGTCCACACAACAAGTTATTTCTAGGAGTAAAGGGGGAAAAATGAGGAGTCCAGCCTTTCAGGCCTGCCTCCAGCAGCAGTTCTGATCCTATCAAACAGCTTCACGCAGCTGCTGACAGGCCTGCCTTCATGCTGCCCATAGCCCAGGGGAGGACTATGAAGACTATTTCTTAAATAACCCCAGTTTCCTTTCAAAAGACAGAAAATTAAGAAGATGCTCTGTGGATCAGAACTCCCACAACAGCTTTACACAATGCAATCCACCAAGAAGAGATACTCTGGACTCCACAGAGGGCCTCAATCAACTGGGATCTTAAAGGAAAAAAAATATTACATATTAAGCTGGTATTTAAGTAAAGCTTCAGCCACAGAAAAAATCTAGCCCACAGAGCCCTTGTTCAGCAATTTCATTTCTAGAACACGGGAAAAGGAATCAATTTAAAACCAGCTGGAAAAGCCACACACCCCAAACATCATACAGACAACAAGCATGTGACCTTGCTGGATGTACACAGTGGCTGCCCAGGGCTGAGATGCCGTAGGAGGCTGACAACTGCAGACCACAAATCTTCCAAAGCAAAAGAACCCCAAGTCCATAGTGACCTTTGGTCAACATCAGTATCAGGACTACATATGGACCAGCCAACCAATGGTTCTCTAGCAGAGATGGGAGAAGACGCTTTCAGGGTTTGTGCTGAGACCAGCAGTTCCCTCAAAAGGTACTCTAGACTCACAGAAACAAGGAAACGTTACAGCTCACTGGATGTTCAGCAGTCACAACCTTCAGGCCACCTATGGAGCAAATGGACTCCCAGGCAATCTGCTACTGCGCCACCTACTGAGAGAGGAAGCAGCCTGCAGGGTACATACCTGGGAATAAAGGAGAAACAACGGGGTGCATTTTGCCATTGGTTCTGCCATGCTTTATTGGCCTGCCAGGTTTATGGAACGTTTGACTTTTCATAGCAATGGTATAGGGACAGACATCACATTGCAGCTGTACAACACATGATGACAAGAATTCCACGGCAAGAACAGCATGTATGCAAGCATTTTGGATGGGACAGAAAATACAAGCATCTTCTGGTTTATCGGTGAAATACAAATACATGTTCAGTGTAATCAAAGTTCCCAAACATTCTTCACAATGAGCAGACATGAGATTTGCTCATCCAGGACAAGACCTCTATCAAACTGCAGCACACGAGGATAACTCCACAGCCAGATGGGTGCAAAATGGAACACCCTGAAGCAGTTTGCATGCAGGCAGAAATAGCCACATGTTGCTATGTGTGACTGAGCCACCAGGGCAAAGGTGTGCCCCATGCCATGAGGCCAGGTCTGCCCACCTAGGCAAGGCCAGAAGCTCTTACGAAGAGCAAGGCATTGAGCTGTGCACTAAGAAGTGCAAAGGAGCAGCAGGTGGCTTGCTGTCAGCCACGTGCAATCCAACTCCTCCTTCCAACCATTTCAGTCTTTGCTATGAAAGAATCACTGTTTGTCACAACTTCATTTCACAGAAATAACACAACCCTTCCCGACATTAAGAGAGGATACTTAGGCCTTAGGTTTCCTTTTAGCTTGTGAAAGCACTGATACTGTCTGCCACACATCATGTTACCCACTAGGGATACGCAGCAGAAGGCTGGACTCTCCTCTTTGCTGCTGTAGGAAGGATTGCCATTTCCTCCCCTTCTTATGGCAGGACAGTATGAACAGCAGATCTTTTGCAGGTACGTGGCAACGGTAGCTTTCCTAATGACTGAAATAAAAACAGCCAATGAGATGTCCTAGCTGACAAAGGAAAAAAACTTATTCCAGTGCAGGCCTTGTCTGCCCAACATTATGCTGTCAGATCAGCAAAGGTGGTCGCAGGAGCTCAACCTGCTGCTTGATCCCTAGTGCCAGCACAGGAAAGAGAAGGGAGAAAGTGGCTCCTCTATACTATGGCTCTCTGCAAGGCCCTCTCGTAGGTCCACCTGCAGCAGATGTTTCAGAGCAGCCATGAGTGGGTTCTAGTGGGGAAAAGAAGAGAGGAGAAGCAGACAAACTTTGCACACAGAGGCACATACCTGAAACGTGGTCTCCATGGGACACCCACCCACCCAAAAGGAACCCAAATGCTGAATGATGCACATGGAAAGAGGAGAATGCACCATTTTCTCTGCCTGCTTGCACTGGGCTCTGTTAGAGAGTGACAGGAAGCTCTAGCACACGTGCATGCACAAACACACACACACAGCAGCTTCAAAAAAGAAAAAAAAAACATCTTTCTGTTTTCAGAAACACAGCCACACAAGCACATGCACACATCCGTCATCTTTATCCATAACAGTCACAGAAGCTATTTCCTACAGTCACTTCTCTGCTTGAAGATGAATTCCAGCCTCTCTCCAGTAGGTTTTCCTCTGAAGGGTATTTTGTCTCCTTTCTGGGCACCTTCCCTGCACTTCCTTTTATGTTCCTTTACAAACCAGCTAGAAGGTCTGTCCCAGCCTACTGCTGTCTGTCACCACTGCAGGACAGCTAATTCCAGATCTGCAAGAGGAGCATGATGGCAGAGCCAGGAAAGGAATGTGGTAGCAGGAATGGGTCCAAGATAGGTACAGAGCAGTCTTAACAGTGACTTTTGTGAACAAAAAGACTTTTTTGTGAAAAAATAATAAAAACTGAAAAAAAAAAAATTACATATCCGTACTTGCCTTGGAAGCTAGGAAAGGCCAAAAATGATACTGACTGTCCTGGATGTTCCCCAGGGCCCTTACTGTACAGGGGCCCACTGCTTTCCCCCAGCTCTCTGAACCATGCTTCACTGCTGCACCCTCCCTGCAGGAATGGGGAGCTGCCCCCAGGGAATATCTGAAAACATCTTCTACAAGCTCAAGAGGTCAGAGAAACTCTCAAACTCTCCCATGTCCCGCCACCCTGACTCAGCTGACAGCACATCTGGGAATTCATCTTTCTCACCAGCGAGTTGCCAGGACTTGTGCATCTTTGCTCCCTGCCTTGCAGGCACCCAATATTGGCTAAAGAGCACAAGCCCAGCGTGTGCAGCAGGCAGCATCCACTGCAGCCCTGCACACAGCTGCATTCACAGTCCCAAACTAACACGCCTTGGGTTACAGCCAGGCAGCTGGCAAGAGCAACCAGCAGAGCTTGTCTCTGGGCACGGATAGAGGTGCGCCACAAAGTCTGTTTTAAGCACCACACCAGGCCTTGTGAGGTCAGGTCATTGTCCCCCGTGGATGTGAGAGGCCCCCAAGTGGTGACAGCAACAGCAGCAGATGAAAGGAGGGTGGTTGGGAATTAGGATTTTCTTTCTTAGACTAACCGGCTTCTTGGCTTCTAAAGTGTCACGCTCATCTCGAAGTTTCTTGTTCATCTCTCTGCTCCAAAGAAAGACAAAGGAGAGAAAAAACGAAACCCTCAATGAAAATGGGATAAAGACCAACATTTGAAAGCTAGATGGAAAGGCACCTAGGGGCACAAATGAAGATATTCGGTAATGTTGGTTATGTTGAGATTTCCATGCATCCCAGTTCAGTTAACAGGCAGCAGGGAAGACTAAATTCCTCCCCCGGAGGAATTATTCAGTAAAATAGCAGAGCCTGTACCCTGCTGGAGGTGATCAAATCGCAAAACTCTATCTGGGCCTAGAAAAATAAGAAGTGTGTGAGTGCTGCTTAAATGCACTCCCACAGCACTGAAACCTCAGCACTGCTTCTAGTGAACGAGCTTCACTAGAAAGGCCAACTCTCCTCTTCTACTCCCAAACTGACCATTGACCACATTGGCCATTCAGATGGTTTCCAGCAAGAAGCAGGATCTGGTCCAATCTGCCCCTTATGTGCCCAAGTGTTTGACATCTGCCCCAGTCCTGTTCCTACCTGAGGAGCTCCAGCTGCCGAAGGAGGCTTTGTTTCTCTTTCTGCATGTTTTTGGAGACTCTGAACACATCCCTAGGTGAAGAGGAAATAAATCAATGGGAGACAAAACACAAGGATCCCTTTCTTAGGAACACCCACAATATTCACAAAGCTGAAGGTCTGCCAGGAGGACTCAGAGGAAGGAGCACTGCCATGGGAGCTGGGATGCCTGAGTTTTACTCCAGCTCTCCTGCTCTCCTCTGGCATGAGGACAGACAATCTACTTTCCACTTTCACATGTCGGTTTCATCAGCTGCTAGAGATGGGAAGGATGCTCACTGTCATCTGGAACTGAAACATCCCCATGTTGCAGCAATATATTACTAGATTAAGCTCATAAACAGGAACACAAGTGATGAGCATAGAATTTGTAGGAACTTTACAGTGATGAACTGGAAATTAAAAGGAGGAGAACTCTCTAGGATGAGGAACATCTGTAATTTTTACAGTAATTTTAAAGCCAATTATCAATGAACATACTCATTTTTCACTACAGGCAGGTGAGAGGTAGCAGTAACACTGCCTTTTTATACCAACAACACCACTGCAATGTTACTTCTCAAGATGTTACTTCCTTTCTCAAGGCAGTTGTCTGATAAAACCACAGCTTCTAATTAGAGAATTTTATTCTTTAACTACTTGTACACTTTTCCTTCTCTGCCTGGGTTCCTGCTCTGACAGCCCACACAGCTGCTTCCCTTTCCATTCCCACCTGTCCTTCTGCTCTTGCTCATTCTGGGCCTCTTTCTGCAGCTTCTGCAGTTGTCCCTTGACAGCCTCTAGCTCCCATTTGCTTTTCTCCAGCTCCTCCAGTAGGTTTTCATTCAGGTGCCGGAGCCTTTCATTCTGCACACGGGTCTCCAGCTGCTCTGAGTTCAGAGACTGTAGCTGATGTTCCAGCTGCAAAGGGAGAGGAGGAGTTAAATACAGAGAGAAAGGGTTCTGAGCTACAATCGTGACTATAAAAACAGGCTGAAAGAAGGGAGGAAAACACAGCTAGGCCTACAAGACCACCAAACGTGTCAAGAAGGTGAACTGGAAGCAATTATTTCTCATCTCTGCTAGCACCAAGGAGCAAGCAATGCTGTTAGTCAGGCTGAGGAAGTACTTCAGGCAGTGTAGAAATCTGAGAGCAAACAAAGGTGATAGGAGGACAGGAAAAATTTGGATGGAAGCAGGGCTATGTCTGTTGGGAGTTATTAAGCACAGATGTTAAAATGCATCCTCCGGTTTAGGGACTTCCTGAGCCCATGGCAGCTGAAAAAGGGATGCATCAAGGTGTTGGGGTATGTCACATTAGCCATATACAGAAAATTAAGTGACCTGGTGATCTTCACGCATGTTGGAGACAGAACTTTGGGCTAGAGGGGTTGTGGGGAGCTGCTGTGCCCCAGCAGCATTTAAACAAGACACCAGCACAAATAACAGGCCTAACTTCAAAAGTTTGAAGTCTGCTCCCTGTACTCAGCTAGCAACGTGATCATTTGCAAATGTCTGGCATAGGCTGGGAAAGAGGCAAAGACAGATGCATCAGTCAAATTCACTTGTCTCAGACAAGTAGGGCGTCACTGGAAGGATCATACCGATATTTCAGTATCCAGTCAACCACATTTGCTGACCAAGGACCTCTGCTGAATTTGGTGCTACAAAGAAATGGCAGTACACACAATCTGAACTCAGTTTCCACAGTCACAGTCACTTGAGCTGAATGTCCTGTTTGTTCCCAGAAGTTCTGCACATACAAGTGTATTTAAAGACCTTTAAATACCATGTGTGACAACTTCTTAACTGCACAGAGAGAATGTTAAGTAAGGGCACAGGGAGAAAAGATCTCACCAAGGGGCAGGTACCCCTGTGAATCTGTGAAAGCCAAGTATGCTTTAAGCACATCTTTTCTGCTCCTTCAAGTAGACTCTCAAAAAGAAAGTAAAAGAAACATGCTGTGACACAAGGTGAAGTGCTTTTCTCTTTCCTGCCCTGCTCTCTGCAAAAACACGTGTACAAGTCACGAATAAAGCTCACCTTTCTCAGGTTCCTTGAAACACAAACCCTACATCTCTTCCCACTACAACTACAAGTACATGTCATGCTCAACTTTGACTCGAGAGTTCCAGTCCTGTGGACATCATGGAAAATTTTAGCACAACCACATATGCTGAGCAGTCAAATTCAGAATAAGAAACAGCAACACCAGCCCACAGCCTCTGGATCTTTCAATAAGCCAGAGGATGGGATTTAAATAAAGCATGTGCCCCTCCCTGAGAATTCTCAAAATCTCAAAGAACTCTGGTTTTATGTTGTCTGTATACTGATACTGCAGAGTAGCACAATCACAATACTCGACTTCCACCACAAGAGGGACCTAGTTGCCCGTGTAACTTAGTACAAACGTCCAAGATAAAGACAGCAGAAAAGCTCAGATGAGTAAGAGTGTCCATACAGTCTCATACACTGTCCTGACCCACAGCAAGGAGAGATGCTAATTAGGAAGAGCATGCCTAGATAGCCACTATGGTCTACACCCCCCGCATCGATAGTTCTTGGACTAGAGATGATAGAATCTACATCCCTGACTTTACTTTTCCCCCTTTCAATATGTTTATGAGCCTGCTGTCCATTAGCTTGTCCAACCTGTTTTTGAAGTGCTGATTCACAACCTCCTGTGCAAAATCTCTAGTTCATTAATCCACAGAAGTACAACCTTTGAGATCAGCCTTCTACTTGTCTTGTTGTCTTTCATCTGTGTTGTTGCAGGATTTGAGGAGTAACAACTCCAGGCGGACCCACAACCATCCCAAACCTGTAAAGCTCTGTTATAACTTCCCTCAGTCTCCTCCACTCCAAAATTAGGGTTAGGCTTTCCTAGTTTCTCTTCCTGAGGCAAATGCACTATTTCCTTAATTATAACAGCAATCTGTACCTTTATTTCTCACACTGGAGTTAGAGGAGACCATAACTGTGCAAACCAAGTGAGAAAATGACACCCTCTATCTTATTCTCATTACCATTCCTCATGGCATCTGAAGTTTTATTGGCTTTTCCAGCTGCTGCACAATGAGCTGTTGAGTTCAGAGAACTTATGCTTCATCCTCATTGCAGCTAGTTATCCAACTTGGATATCTCCAGTTACCAGAACCTTCCAGGTAACTCCCATGACTTATTTCTGCAGCAGTCACATTTCAGTTTTCCAGAGAAGAAGGGAAAGACATCCAAAATGGACCACCATGTACAAATGTGCATGCCAGGGACCGACAAGCCAATGGAAAATTTCTGCTATGATCTTTTCATTCAATCAATATGTCATTAGGTACTGAAATGCAAGTATATAGTACATGCAGCTCAGAGCATCAGGGAACTCTTCCCTCTGGGTTATTTTGCAGCAGCTAGAAAAAAACTATTTGGCTCTTGCATGTCTATACACAGCTTTCCTACACACCACAAAAGGCACCAAACTCACAATTGCCAAATCTTTACCTCATTTTCCTTGTCAAATTAAGTTATTGTACAAGAGAAACCAAAGCAGATGAAAAAACGAGGACCAAGATGTTCACAGGAGGACAGTGCCATTGCAGACAAGCTAACTCACTTCAACACCCTCAGAGATGGGCAAAATTAGGCTGGCTAATACTGTCAGCAGTTGAAAACCACTCCCAGCCAGAAAAGGTCTTTATAGAAATACAGTAGAAGAAGGAACACTTTAGAAAGTCTTTGGGCTCTGTTACCTTCTTCTGACGATAGAGGATTTTCTCCAGCTCTTGCTCTTTGCTGCGCAGTTCCTTTTGGAGCAGGTTACTCCTGTTGTGTCTCAGTGCTTCCTGCAAAGATGAAGACATACAGCTATGCACACAACACCCAGCACAGTTAAGAGCTGTTCCTTAACCAGATGAGCCACCCTCCCTGCTTCAGACCACAGAAAGTTTGACTTCAGCCAAAAGAGATGAGGTACCTGGCAGATTAGCCTCTCCCTTTCTGCTTTGATCTGTTGCTCCATTTCTTCATAAAGGCACCTGACTTCCCGGTCATGGTCCGTCTCCTTTCTATGAAAGGAAAGGTGCACACATATCACAAGAGAGAAAGAGAATGCAGAAAGAAAAGAGGAGAGAAGGGTGCAAAGAGAGTCCTACTAAGAGCTTTGTGGCATTGCCAGAAAGTTACTTCAGATGGTTTTTTCACCAGATCAAATGTTATGGGTGTGTGCTGCTGCAAAACAAACCTCTGACAATCAAGTCAAGATAAACAGTCATTTCATTACAGCGAGAAAAATCTCAGTGTCCAGCCTCTCCTGACACTTGAGGCAGAATATAACACTTGCAATTTAATCCAAATATCAGCTGTTTCCAGACAGTAAATAGCAATGATGTTCTCCTTACCGCTTCAATGCCTGCTCCATAGACTCCTTTTCATGATTCACCTCCTTGATGTATGATGAAACACGCAGCAGAAACTCCTCAAAATTGGCTAAGAGCTCCGGACGCTCCTTTCGTAGCCGGGCCCAAAGATCTCGAACCTCGCTAGGACTGGAGCAAGCATACAGGAGACAAAGAAAGCAAATGAGTTTGTGTCACCTTCTGGATTGTTACTCTAATTCCAGCATGCACTCAGGGGAGGGCAGACTGCCCTTGTCCTTGTCATCTCCTCCATTACACCATACAGCAAAGAGACTAAAAGAAACTGCGAGGTTAAAATGGAGGAGGTCATCTGAAAGACAAAAAGAGTCACCTACGAAGCAAATCTGGAGCAATTATTTTCCAAGTATTCAGTAATAATACATTTGGTGTCTAAACTAAGATTGGAAGAGATGAAAATTCAGGAAACTCTCACAGGCCAGGGATTTTGGCACACATCACACAGGTGTCACTCTCACACCATGGCAGTACAAGTGGATGCTACTGCCATTCTCTGTCTGTTCATCTAGCAAGTTTGGAAACTAAGTCACAAACTAAAGGAGCAAATTTTTCATGGTGTTACATTATGGATAATGTAACAGTCTAGATCAGATTCAGTAGCAAAACTATGAAGATCAGATTCCTCCTCCCTCTCTCATTAGCTTCTGTTTCCTGTTAATTCTTTATAACAGCTGCCTCAGGACAAAGGCATGACAGCAACCTCTGAACTCATTGTATAGAACTGCCAAAACGAGGATAAGACTTAAACTTAAAGACCGGATGCTTCACAAGTTGTTGTAAACAGCAGAGTCTGTTTCGTACGGCTTTCACAGTGTCACTCCATCATTTGCAGCATTAAATTTTTCTTCCAAAGTTGTTTAGCATGCAGGTGCTTTGCATCACAGTGCATGTGAGACAGCACAATCTGTTTCATGACAGATGCAGCTCTGCAAACAGCAAAGTCCTTGGCTCTCAGCTTCTGTCTCCAATCCTGACTGTTTCCCAACCCTGTTTGGAGCAGAGCTGCTCCCAGCAAACTGGTGCCAACTGCTGTACTACGAAGTCTGGAGAAAAAAAAAACAAAACAAAACAAAAAAAACACTACCAACAAAATCCCATTGCCACACAGGCTGTTGGACCACCCCAGCTCCAACATGTTTGCATCAGTAAGAAGCAACCATGGAAAATACTTCACTTGGGAAGGCCCTAAAAAAAAATTCTGCAGCCTAGCAGCTGGATGACACTAAATCTGTAGATTCTACTGGAGGGTATTGATACCAAATTTCAAAGCTCTGGTGAGTATCTCCTGCTCATTTCAGCTTCTCACTGTTTTCAAGATCAGCTCAGTCCCACGCAATCCCTTAAGCACACATCTTTCATGCAGAGTCTTAGAGTTAAGCTTTTCCAAACATATGTGAACAGTCACAGGCCCTCTTGGAACAGACAGTGCACACATCCTCCTTACCTTGTCTAACCCTCACATGCTTCTTTTCATCTGTTGCATGCAGATGAGTTTCCACATCAATTGCTACATCTTACAGCTGTGGTATGAACTTATAGTTTGGGAAACAATTTGTGAAAAGCATTGCACTGGAGGTAACTTATAACTGATGAGAGAACCCAGACTTCATTACATTTGTTACCAAGCATACAAAAAAAAAAAAAAAAAAGGAAGAACTAAGCAGTACTTCAGGAGCAAGCAGCTCAGTTCACCTCCTGGATGTTTGCTGGTACTTTCAAGTTTTGGTACCGCAAGATCAAAACAAGGTAGAGGTAAGGCCACAAGACACCCCTACTTACTCTTCAAACACCTGGGCTGCTCCAAGCTGCTCCATCATGGAGCAGAATCGTTTCTCTTCATCGTCTGCTGGGTCCATGTCATCTGACCAACCTGACTCAAACGTCTCCTCGTGACTGGAGCGATCTGTCCTTCCAGCCCCTTGACACAAGTCGATTCCTATTAACTTTCCTGAGGAAGGCAAGAAGGAGAAAAAAGTCAAACTGGACGTCACTTAAAAGGCTGCTATTCAAACCCAATGCAGCTCTGTGAGAAGCTGCCTGCACTCTACTGTTGTAGAATACGGCTCCTAGTCGGTAAAGAGCCTCAGTTCTGACGTGCTGAGTGATGTCAGCATCCAGTCTGCAATGCTGGGACTGAAACTGGCTTCCAGCCTGACAACAAGCTGTAATGGCTCTGCTCACATCTGTGCTAAAATGACATACCACTCCCACTTGGATCCTCTGCATGTGAAACGTGGCATTTGGTCATTCCACTCCTGTAGAGCAATGCTATGGGGATTCAGTTGCCAACGATGCCACAAACCCCCTCTAAGATTGCAAGCCAGCCACTGAACATCTTCATGCCTCAGTTTCTCAGTTCACAAAAAAGTGTCAGGGAGATCATTACCCTTCCCTTCCTGGATGCTACATCTGCTCCAATTTACATGCTACAGGACAGACTGCCTCTTGCTGGGACTGTGGAGTGTCTGAACAAAACAAACTTATGCTCTGAACAGCCCCATCCCACGTACATACGAGTTCAAGTTTTCCAAATTCTTTTTCATGCCGCAACAGTAATGCCATGAGAATTCATGCTATGCAAGGCATGTGACGGATACTGTTGTCAGGAACAAACTCTTAGAAGAAACAAATCAAGGAATTCTGCCCAAAGCACAGGCCCCATCCTGTACACTTAGGGCAGAGCTTCACTAGCAGCATTCCAAAATGCATATACCTCTAGAACCAAGCAGAAGTGACATCCCAGCCACAGGGCCAGCAGCCAAAAATATTCAGAACTGCTCTAAGTAGAAAATATCCAAAATCTGTGTGCCTCACGTCACTCAAGTCTACTGTTCCTTGCCTCCAAATGTCTTCAAGTCCTTTCCATTAACTACATGCAATACTGTAAAAAATGCTAAGGTTCTGGTGCAAGCTTCTTTTTCCTTTCTGTCATCCTTTCATGCTCAGACAGTGCCCAACACACGGCAGTTTATCTCACTGCTCCTCTTCCTCCCAGGTGATTACAACCCCCCTGCATCCTTGGCATCTGCTAGAAACCTGCAAAGCACAGGCCCACTCCAATTCAGCATAAAACATGAGAACTGCAACGGATTTATCTCCATACTGGAAGTAATGTGGATGGATGCAGAACAACAGCTTCATTTCCACTATTAAAATGTGTGCTGTAAAAAACTTACAGTGTGGTCAGGCAGGACCAACTCCAGCTTAAAACCTTGAGCAGTTAATTACGGAGATGGGCTGAGATGGGGCACTTGGGATGTCTACTTTAAATAAAGAGTCATTATGTCTTATAGTCTGCCTCCTACAGCTCGAAAAATTGGGATAGAGAATGATGCTAAGATTGTTTTGACACTCTAGAAGGATCTTAGATTGCTTTAAATTGAACATTTAAAATTGCTGCTCTTTTTGTCAGTTGTGAAGAAGCCTCCTGTAACCTGTCAGGGGCCATGCAATGTGCCCTCTCAAGAAGCAGAGCTGACAGCAGCACAGTTCCCAGCTTGAGCTCCTTCTCTTCATCTCCCCCCTGTGCACTCTGACAAGACGGCATAGTATGTGCAATCTCCAGTAAGAGAGTTTGTCCTTCCTCTACCTCTATGCAGTCCTTACCTAGTCCCATGCTGAACTCCACAGGTGTCAGGTATCCATTATTGTTCTGCTCCAAGCTGTCAAAAACAGTCTCCAGCTGCTCAAGGGTTAGGGGGAGCTCACTCTGAAGCCTCTGCAGACAAAAAAGAATGAATGAAAGCATGACTCAAAGTCTTTCCTGTGACTGCTGCCTCAGCTGTGCCCTTTCAGCACTGCCTCTTGGTTAGGATGAGACAGTATGACAGTACACTTTGAGTCCACTGATAAGGTTTTCAGTTAACAAATGATTCAACCAGGAACACAGAGAGAGAACTTCTGTCTGTCTGCTGGGACTGCACCATTATTCTCACTACAGTTAAGGAACAGAGATTTGCTTTTGAATTACATGTGTGGAGCACATAGTGTGAAAGTTTTCCCAAAGAAATTTCCAAATTTGCAAATTTGCTACAGGAAAAAAAAAAAACATCACTGTCCATTAAAAACATAGATTTAGATAAAGCTTAATAAATATTTATTAATATAGGTATACAAAATTAGGCTCACACACCACAAAACGAAGTGAGTCAGCAACTAAGCCAGCACTTGTTTACTCAACAAGACCTGCCAAATATTAACTACAGATGGAGAAAGAGATGGGAAAGGAAAAAAACACTATACGCATAATCTTCCTGATAAATAACTAAAGCAAAAAGAACAATGAAAGAGATTCTGTTAACAAACAAAAAGCAAAAAAAACCCAACACATTATGCCAGTGCAAAGTCACAGTTCAGGTCTAACATGTGTTTTTGAGACAAGACCTCAGCTATGACTGAGACAAAAAGAAGTTACACAGCCTTTTTGTGAAGACTGAGGCTTCTTGTTGCTGTTTATAGTTGTGTCATTTTGTTTTTAAAATAAACAAAAGATTTTTGTCCCCGATTTCCCATCCATTGCATGCTTAACATCTGTACAAACTGTTGCTTTTTATCTATTTATTTATTTATGCGTTCCTTAAAAATTTGGAATTGCAGTCCCACTTGTCCCAGGAACTCCCAAAAGGCCCAAGGCCCCTCCTGGATCAGCTGGTTGGATAGAGTCCAGCTCCCTGAAATCAGAATGAGACAGATGTGTGCACATCCACCTTGCCAACGGGTAAGACTTGCCATATTCTCCTCTTTTCTGCCATTCATGACTTCAGAGCTCTTCTCTTACCTGCATGTCCAACTTGGTGATAAAGCCCTTCTCATCCTTGTCACAGAGCTGGAAGAGTTCCCTCGCCTTTTCAAGCATCTCCACCTGCACGTCCTCCAGTTCGCTCATTTGGCTGGCAGGAGAAGCACCAGAAGCCACTTCATCTTCCTCGTCCCCCTCCTCTTCTGCTTCCCAGTGGACGCATCCCAGGAGAGAGCTCCTCTGGTTCTCCATCTTTTCAATGCCCTTCGCCCCAGGGCAGGGGAAAATGGAAGAGCTGTGGGGCAGGAAAGAGAAAAACCACAGTCAAACACGACTCTCTGCTTCTGATCCACACACCATCTAGTTACACACCATGCTGGTCTGAAAGAACCAGACGTGCACCACAACTGCAGGGCAGGACAAAGGCAGTGAGGAGGATCTGTGCCTGAGATGAAGGAAAGAAGAACAGGAATGCCTTTCCCAGACCTCTCCTGCCCAGACCTACAGCTGACCATCCACTTCTGATGTTTTCTCGTGAATGCTTCCCAAATACCAATTCCATCCTCTTTCATGTTATTACAGCTCATGCACAAAAAAGGTCAGAACATTCCTACACTGGGATATAAGATGGGAAAAAAATAATAAACTGGGCACTCCTGCCCCTTTTGCCTCTGCTTTGAGAGCTCAAAAGCTGCCAAGCAGAATTTTAATCTGAAATGTTCACATTTGTAGGAAGGAAACCACACAATTGCAGAGATATTTCAGATGCCAAAGAAAATAATTCCCATTATTTACAAGTACCCAACACAAAAGGGCTAAGCACCTCTCTAATAAGCACAGTCCTGGGCTGTAAAGATGCACACAGCACATCCCTACCCCAACCCACCTTCCGACTTACTGCTCCCTCTTAACACACTCCAGACAGCTTTTCTTCAGCACCAGCACCACATTTCTAAGCCTTGCTGCACTGCTTTGAGCTTCTCCTCCTGCAGATCCTTGCTCTGCATTGCAGGGCAGAAGTGAGCTGTGCAAGCAGGCTGCGAGCAGATTTAAACACAGCACTAGCCAAGAGAGCTTGACTCTTTTTGTTTCTGAAATCACCAAGAAATTAAAAGCCATGTGCAGATGCCATGATAACAAGCAACTTAATTCTGTTTGTACTCTTGGTACGCTGGGATGACAAAGAACATGACGGCCTGGAAGAATGTCACATGCAAGAACTGCATGAAACTAATACAAAAGGAGAAGGTGATTATGTGCCATGCTATGTGACTCCATTCATTACTGCTGGTCTGTGAGCCAGAGGGTTGTTCTGCTTCAAAGAACGAGCAGAATGCTTCACTCCCCCTTTCAAATGGGTAATTTTGCACAGCATCCGTTTAGTGTCGCTCGAAAACATATTTGTTTGAAACTCTGCAGAAAATTTCCTGTAAGTTGGTGCTATTATATGTTTCTAGTCAAGCAGTCACCCCTAGCAAGCAAGAGGCACAGAGCTGGGCCCATGCTTTGGGGAATACTGTAAGGGAAAGAGGGAAGAAAGAATGAAAAGTGAGGTGGTGGTAGGTAGGGGTCTTTCACTCTTTGTTCAAATTAAGCCTTCTGCTTAAGCTTCCTTGTATTATTAGGCCAACAGAACAAAAAGTGGAGGCTAAAGCTAGACCTGAAAGAAGAAAAAAAAAAAAAAAAAAAAAAAAAGATCCAAATATCTTTAGCTGCATGGATATTACAGGTGATGATGGTGAGTCAGATAGCCACACCAGTGAATTGTATTTACTGGCTGTCACATGTCACCTTGCTGTAGGCTTCTGACAGACCCACTTCTTCCACAAGTACACTCAAAGCAAGAGCTGTGACAAGAATGAGGACAAAAAGAAAGAAAAGGAACAGAATGTGAAAAAGCACAAAAAAGAGATACATTTTCTAAAACTTCCCTCTAGATATCTAAGAGGGGCTGTCTCCCAGAAGTAAAGATCTTACTTCCTTGCTACGAGCTTCATCAGCTTGTATTTCAAAGGCCAGAGCAACCCACACAGATGATGACTCCCATCTCTGCTGCAGCAAACAAAAGGTTGTACAAGGAGGATGTTCTGTTCTCTTCAGAATTATCTGCAAGCTGAAATTGGAAACATGATATCCCTACTTCTAGCACCTCCCCACTTTATCAAAAGCCCAACTGAATCGTAGCTCCCAAACATTAGCAGTGGTAAAAAGCTCTTAATTAGAAGAGCTGGGAGCCTGACATGGACAAGAGTCTGAAAGGATTTGACTCACTCTTGTAAGAGACCAGCCCCATTAATTCAACATTCAGAGCACAGAGCCTCCTGTTCAAGCTGCTCAGAGAGGCCTGAAGCCAGATGTGGCTCTCAGTCACGAGATGGCACTCGTAGAGGAACAAAGTTGCAAACACGAGACAGCCTCACCAAGCAAAACACATGGCAGCTCTCTGTCGGGCTTCTCCTCCAGAGTCTCCAGTTGTTCATCTCCATCCCCATTTGTAAAGGCATCTCACAGTAGAAATGCAGATGAGAGGCGTGAAGCAGATCTCAGTCTGACCTGCCCCAGTTACAATTAGTTGCTGCAAACTACTGGGGAGCAGCTCTATCAGCAAGATGCAGACTATCACTGAAGGATAACACTGAAGGAGACAGAAGAGACAGATAGGTACAGGCACCTAATGCTTTTGGTCAGTCAAACCTGCCATGATCCACAGGGAGAAGTAATCAAGTCAGCTCCCAATAACAAAGACCTGTCAGAACTCATTTCTCCAGCTCTCATCTCACAGAACTCATTTCTCCACGTCTCATCTGGCAGGCAAGACAGCCAGTGAGACAACACCAGTTGTCTCTTAGCTTAGGATCAGGGTAGTGTCTATCTTCTAGGCTATTAATTCCCATCACCACAACATCTGCACTGGGTCACAAGAAAGCCCATCCAGTCCAGACTAACAATTCTTTTCCAGAGTCTGGGAGATCTACCAGAAGATGGAAGTGTTTGAGACCCAAAAGCACCAATGAGCTCCAATTGCAGGTAACCACCTCCACATCACATTCTACAACTCACCCTTCCCTCACAGCCAGCTATGGTACTGCATAGTCCAGATTTGAGCAGATGTCAAAGGTGCAAAAAACCTGATACTGAGCTTAAAAGAGAAAAGACAGTCCTTAGGATCTGTGGATTACAACAGCTACCTCCTGTCATGGTGTGTGCTGGGGCCCAGCATGCAGAAATTCACTTGCACCTAGAAGACAACCTTCCCGGTGTGCAGAATCTGCAAAGCAAACAGATCATCTTGGACAAAGCACAGGAGGAACTTGACTGCCAGTAAGGGTAAGAAACACCAGGTGCTTTCCACACAGAGGTAATTCAGACCAGTTTTATGTGCATGTTTTAACCTCTCTAGGCATAAACTGTAGTTTGTCTTGTGCAAAGTGGGGCCAGAAAATCAGCTGGGTCTGACAGGCAAGACCTTCAGCTGGGAAATCACAAGACCTGAATCTTAATCCTGACTCAATGTGCTATACAGCCCTGGGCAAGGCATGTCACCTGCCCGTGCTGGCATTGTCAACCCTCCAATTTGAATCCAATTCTTGTAACAGCTGGCACTTTATTTTAAAATTCTATTCCTGGAGTCTGATAATTACTTGCGAAAGTCAAACGTCAGAACAGTTTCAAAGCCTTGTAGCTGAAGAAAAGAAACACCTGAACATAGAACACAAGGTGCAATTCCTGGAAAGTGGAAATACTGTATTCAAGAGTGTTACAAGGTCATGGTTTCCAATTTATTCTCTCTGAATTTTTATTAGTGTAGCAGCAGAGCTAAAAAGGTAAAGAAAAGTCATGACTCAAACATCACCAACAATCAAGCCCTCATCTGTGACCACGAGCACCGTGTGCACATGACAACTTTGGGGTTTTTCTCAACCTGATGAGGAAAGGAAAGCGGGAAGCACAGCCAAACTCTGCACAGCTGGTCCTCAGGTGACCTCAGCCACAGGCAGAGCACTGTACACACGCTGAACACACAGCATTCCTAGCAGTCCTGCCAAAATGCAGCACAATTAACCTACAGTGAACAAAGGAAAAACTAAGGACGACTGGCTAAGTGGCTTACCAGGATTCTGGTGCAAGGCCAATGCCTGGGGTCTGTAGAGCTAAAAGGAAAGCAGGCTTTTGTGTTCCTGTGCTGCTGCATATTTGGTGACGCTGTAGTAGTGGGGATTTGTAAAGAAGATTCCTTCTGGGCACGTGGTAGGTGTCCAAGGTGCGCCACAAAACAAAGCGGTCAGATCATCACTGGAAATTTCCCAGAGGAGATCCTGCACATCTCTGCCTAAGACAACATCATTAGAAACATAAAAATCCCACCCTGGTACAAAAGCTAAATGGATAAGCCAGCTGTTGAAACAGATCAGAAGGACACGCACCCATGAGAAAGAGTTCTACAGCACTGAAGGGAGCCACAGAAATGCCAGAAAAATGTTTTCAGGGGGCAGTGAGGTGCCACAGGCTGGGTCACCTGCTCTCCAAGCTGCTTTGCAAGATCAGTCCCAGCCAAGGAGACCACCCAGCAGCAAACACAGGCTGATATAAAAGCACTTAAGGAATTCAGAGGTGTCCTTCAGCGGGTGTTCAGGCGTGCTGATCATGCTTTTGATGCATACACTAGATGAGGCAGACTTGCTCCCACGTCCCAGAGGATGTTATACAAAGAGAGGAGAAGAATGGCCATGATGAGGTGTTTCTGCAGCAGAAGCCTGTTGCTCCAGACCACAACAGATGCAGAGCAGGAGCACACCCAGATCACAGAATCGTAGAGTCATCAAGGCTGAAAAGACCTCTAAGATCACCAAGCTCAACCACCAACCCACCCCCACTATGCCCACTGATCATGTCCCTAGTGTCACATCCACACGGTTCCTGATCATCTCCAGGGACAGTGACTCCACCACCCCCTGGGCAGTCTGTGCCACTGCATCACTGCTCTTTTGGAGAAGAGATAATATCCAACCTGAACCTCCCCTGGTGCAACTTAGAGCCATTACCTCTTGTCCTAAAGATATCAAAGCTCAAAGCATTTGCTCGCTCATGGACTGAAAGCATTAGTCAGGAGCAGCTGCGTAACAAGGAGGATTTAAAAGAATAGGGCAGCAAAAGCTTTACAGCCTCTCATATCACTTTGAATCAAACATCTGCCAGTTGCACTGTTTACTCTGCCTTCCCTTCTCTCTTGCTCTTTTGAAAGCCAGTAATTACTGTAAAAACAGTGCTTCTTGTAGGACAAACACCTCTATAGCT